TTTTTTTGGTGCTAGATTATACTTCCCAGACGGCTTCGGCAGGCTGTTGAGTTGTGCCAATGTATGCTGGAGGTGTGTACTTCTCGTAGTCTTGCAATGTAGTCGCAGAAGGATGGTGGATGAGGTTGTAGGAGCTCCAGCGCTTCCAACTTTCGTCTTCGACTACGAGCGGTTCCTTGTTCTCTTTGTGCTGGACACTTGAATGTCGCCGAGATTGACAGCAACGCGCCATTATATTGCTGCATACTTGGCCCATTCCTCCCTATTTGACACTTGCTGGTCGATGCTGCCGCGGATCCACAAGTTCAGCGGCGCTTCAAGATGCAACCTTCGAAAACCAATCATTCAATAATATCCGGTCATATCTTCAACAAGTCAGAGTCTACACCAGATAGCACGTGACTTGTAAAGATAATAAGCAGAGTCATTATCCGGAGGATATGAAAGTCCGAATGCAAGATGCAACGGATTACAAAAAGCGACCATTGATATGCACACGTTACAAGTAACTACAGCCAACTCGCTAGTCTCCAGGTCAAATCGATAACTCCCCACCTATTCCTGAATGACAGCATTCAAGTAGTTCTCCACCGCACGCTTGATCTTGTCCAGTCCGGCCGAGCTAATGTCGAACCAAGAGGCATCGAGGGCCATGGAGCGTGCGTCCGATCCAGCCACGTCGTCCTCCAAGCCGTCTTTTACGCTCTCCACTACTGAGCGCACCGCCAGTTTATGAGAGCTAGAATCTAGTTCATCACCGCCTTGAATAACAGCGTTCGACTGTAGAAATTCTTCAATCGACGGCTCGTTTTCAATGGAAAGAAGTGGTTGGAACCTGTTCGTAACTTCCTTCGCACTTGCTCGAGCGTTAAGTGCAGCGGCGTGACGAATCTTGGTGCACTTCTCCTGTTCTTTAGATACTGTAGTATCCACCACCTTAGTCTGTTGCGTGTCAGCCCACAGCTCTTCCAGTGAGCATGTGTGTGGCACGAAAGAGCACACAGTCTTGGCCACTACCGCAAGCTGGTTGTGTATCGGATCACCTTCGTAGTCGCCCCAGAACTCCATGGGGTTGGACGTATTAGCGGCGTTCCATACTCCAGGCTCTCCGAAGTCTCCCTGTTGCTTCACATAGTCGTTATACGACCGGATGAAGTTGTTCTCATTGAAGTTCGGGATCAACGAAGTTGCCACACGGACAGTGATGCCGCGAGCGCGACGCAAGCCTGACACACTCAGTCCAGCGCCATGGACGCGAGGATCCAGCACCATACACGCGATGAAATGTTCCTCCACGTAACATTCCAAACGTTGCATGAAACTCGTCGCCAGAGGGTGAGAATTGCCATCAAAAAGAGGCGAACGCGTCGCAGCGCCAAAGAGCCAAATCCACAGCGCTAGCAACTCGCCGGACGTTGTGGTTTGCAACTCGCTTAGTGCTGAAAAATAATTCAGCGGCAGCAGCAACTGCGCAGTGTTTTTCAGGGTGTTCCAGGCGATGTCGCTGCTACTCATATCAACCAATGCACGCAACTTTTGCAGCGATGATGGCGAATCTTTCGATTCTTGCGAAATGGCAACACGAAGGAAGCTTTCCAGACGAGTTGCTTGTTTCACTGCCATTGCAACAGAGCGCCAGCTTGTGGCTGACACTTGGCTGAAGGCCTTAACAGCTTTATCAGCACTGTTATCGCCATAGACACCCTGCAACACACGATTGCGCAACGACGGCAACGCATGGAGAGCATCTCCGATCAGTCCAGCGTTGTCGAGAGCTTCTTCCAGTGACATACTGCATAGCAAAAGTTCATGTAGTAGCAACGCCGTCTGCTGCGTCATGCACACGCCCATAAGAGTGATCAGGTTGCGTGAGTCACTGTCATTGGGTTGCAGCTCCTGACGCGCACGCGCGTAAGTTCCCGATGTTGGAGTGCATAAGAAAATCTTCGCACTGCTTGATGGTAGTGTCGACAGCATGGAGAACACTTCAGCAACATAAGGCGATGTCGAGGAATTACTACCCTCTGCCAGCACGAAGGCGCGTCGCCACTCGTCCACTGCGACGTACGTCGCCTTCTTGGTTCCATCAGGGGCAACATCAGTGCTTTTAACCATCAACGTGACTGTGTTTGACGTTGCCAAAATGTCTTTGCAGTCGCGATCGTACGTCTGAGTCAAGCGATCGAGCACTTCGTTGCGAGCACGAGTTGCCGTCAACGGAAAAGTGTCAGACACGGGATGCAACATCTCCATTGCCTCTCGAAATTGCGCATTGTCAAGCAATTTCCAAGGCGCATCAGTGGCAATCATTGCAGCGGTGAGTTTCTCCTCGAAGACGCGAAGATTGACAGTACTACGTTTCGCGGCAATTGAAGGTGAAGATCTTTGTTGCAACTTTGTCGGCAACTTGACTGCCGAAGTTGCAGGCTTTGTCGACGGCGACTTGAACGCTGTTGTTGCAGGCTTTGTCGACGGCGACACAGGTTCTTTGGCGGCCGCTTCGCTCTTGTTCGCCACAGCACCTTCTACCCTGTTGGACATGACCCCCACAGCTCCAGCGTATTTCGTCTTTACGTCCTCCGGGACTTCCGGGCATTTCGTTGACAGATGCAGTTTCAAACGTGCACTGAGCTGCGGCGTGTCCTCGTGGCAATACACACAGCGCATGGTCTTCTGCTTCTTGCCGGGAGTCAACGGCGCGTCCTCAAAGTGCTCGTACACAGGGCCACGTTTACGTCCTGCCCCTGACGGACGCACACGTTTGGGTGCAGACGAATTTGCCGATGGCGTTGCCGATGGAGTTGCCGATGGCGACCGAGAGCGGGTGGAAAGTTCCGTGGCATTTTCCTCTGTCGACGGAGCAACAGGGGTAACTGACTGCAGTTGCTGAGACTTGAACATTTCCTCCCAATCTGGGTGTTTGATGCGCAGGTGCGTGAGCAGGTTAGTGTAGCCCGTGCTCACGGCTTGAGTGTAAACGTTGTGGCACACTTTGCATCGGTGGCGGTTGGCGCCGCCCAGCGACACGCTTTTCTTGCGTCCGCGCTTCTTGGGGGCAGTCGGAGAAGGGGGTGGAGGTGGCGCGGGAGGCGGTGCATCAGGGTCGTACACGGGCTCGAAGAAGAAAGCGCAGATGTCCCCAGACACCGTCATGACTGCAGGATTTCCAATTGTGGCGAGGGGGAAATTCTTGTACGAAATCTAGAACGAAGGGAGAAAATTATAGCTGATCATTGGATGAAATTCGAAATAAGTCTTTTGATTCGCTGATAAAAACACCTGAAATAAATAATATTTTTCAAGAACACTAGTTGCTGAAGTGGCAACGGTTATGATTAAAAAAAAAATTGTTTTGAGCACTTCAACATCAGTGATCCGGGCCGTTCATCAGGACTACCGTCCTACCAAGACGGTCACCTTCGTAATAAGACCCCAAGCATTGCAACTATTGATAGACACTATCGGATACAAGGCTGTTGTTGAAGGCATGAGCCCTGAAGGTATTCCTACTTTTGTCGAGAAACGAGGACTTGCGAACGATGTCGCCATACATGCAGCTTAAGTCACCGTTCAGGTCTCCCTCCATTGATCTTGGCCAAGGACTTGACCGAAAGGCTGAGTACATGGATAAAGATGGCGTTCTGCGCAGATCAAGTAGTGTGACTCGCAGGATGATCCAGCGAGGTGCCTCTATCACAGATGCTGGCGATGTAATGCCAGACGAGCAACTACACACGTCAGTCAATACGCGCAGCGTAGAGAAGCATGCTAGTCGCAAAGCCTCGATACAACTTGGCGAAGAAGCCACTCGGAAGGCTGCAGCGAATGCCGTACTCAAATACCAAGCCAAGATTGACAAGGAGGAGGGACTGAAAAAGGCGAACCAGCGAGTGGCCGAGCGGGTACGGCGATACGAAGAGCTTCACCTAAGCTTAGAATCCCTCGGAGATGTCGTAGATGTCACGGAGAACAGTACCGCGATGTCGCCATCCAAGACCAACACGTACATCGATGAAGAGGGAAATCTCCGTCGGAGGATCTTTGTACCCACCGAACTGAACAGCACCCAAGATGGTTTCATCCCTGGACCAGCCACACCACCGCTTCCCGACCTAAGCCAGGTTGACGAACCGCAGGAGTATTTCTAAACGTGCCCGTATTAACTTGAATTCATTTGTACATCAAAGAAAATAGCAGTCGACCAAAAAGTTGAGTGTGCTATTCCTTTGTGTTCGTGTCTTCGCCTCGAAAACGCCAAATAGCTCGGTCAACGCTCATCAAACCACTCTCATTGTTTCTATGATTCCACCACCCGCAATTGAATCCTTGGCATCAATTATTGCAATCACTACATCGACAATGATGATATCAGGAGTTTCGAAGTTTTGCTGATTGAAAACTATTTTTTGCCCTTTCAAAATTCCTGTCTGCATTTGTGTTTTAGTCAATGTCCCGCCCGTCATTCCTCTAACAAGGCACGATCGGAATCACATTCCATGAGTGGCAATGGAGTTGAAGCAGCCTCTAAAGCGACTTCCGATGTCGTCGACACCGAATCTGATGCCATGTATCAGGTACGCCTCATCCATAACTGGCCACCGCAGACGTCTGTGCTGCTGGATAAAACTCTCGTCTCGTCGTTCTACGGTTTGCAACTCGAGCTCCGAGGCAACATCAAAGACCGGACGGACTCTCAGAGCCCGATCACATTATTCAACGATGGCCAGACTGTATCGAAAGCCGGAGAGATCAGAAAACCAACTTCCTCGCCGCTGCACTTTGGTAACAGCTTGGCATCTTCGTCGGCGCTACTTGAATCATTGGATAATATCACAGGCCCATTCGAATTGGTTGTCATCGGTAAGGTAGCCATTCCAGCACCTGATGATTCATCTATAGATGAAGACACACGGGCCGCTCTACAGCAAATGTCGAGCGTGCAAGTTGAAAACACCTTGTTAGAGATCAATGGTGAGCGATTTTTGGTCGATAGGGGTGCCAGTGGAGCTGATATTTATCGTCGTCTGTGGATTGTGGCATCACGGGCATCTCTTGCCTCACCGCTCGAGCTGACATTTCGTCGGCACAATCTCGCTCAAGTATCAGCCAAAATCGTGCCGTTCGCGCGGCGAAAAGATGTTCAGGATGCTCAAATCGCGCAATTGGCAAAACTTGCCGCTGAGGAGGCTGCTCTACCGATTAATATTCGTCGCAAAAAGCTTTTCCTCATACAACAATTGGATTTTGAACGTGAACACTACTTGGTGGCTTATCTAAGCGAGCCACTTCAAGAGCTACACACACGAATCATGGATAGTTGTCAGTGGCAAATTTACGAATTTGGCAAAACGCTTTGGTATTTCCACGCACCAACAGCGCGTTTGTGCGCTCAACATCCACTGCGAAACCATCCAGAGGCTCGTGAACTCATCGAACGAGTGCAACAGCAAGTTCAGCAGGCAGTTCGCAAGCTTCAACGGAAAACTCGATCGCACCAGCGTCGGCAACGCCTGATGCGCTTAATCCAGGCCGAAATGCGTCGACGAGAAGAAGAAAAACGCAAGGAGCGAGAACTGCAACGCGCAGTGCTTCGAATCCAACACCGGATACGAGCATATCAACGTCGGAAACGTTATTTAGTCATAATTCAAGCGGAAAAGATACGGCTGAAACAAATTCGGCGACAGCAACAGCTAGCAGAAGAACGGCAGCGTGAAGAGCAACGAATTGAGGAAAAACGGCAACTTGAGGCAATGAAACTGGAGCAACAGCGATTGCAACAGGAACTTGGCGAACTGAAATTGGAGTTGCAACAATTGAAATTGCTCAAAGAGACTAGAACGCCAATACGGGATACACAATCCAGTGTCAATGACGAGGTCAGAGCCATCGAAAAGATGCGGCAAGAAGAGCAACGAATATTGCAACAACGACTTGAAAAACTTGAGCAGGAATTTCGGAATCGGAAAGAGGTCAAAACAGTTGTGGAAAGAGAAACGCAAACCAGTTCCAGAAGCGAAAATGATGCGATCGAGCATCTGAGAATTGCAGAGCAGCTACGTGCTCGGCGGGCTATCGAGGAATTGGAACTGAAGCTGCAATGTCAACACGCAAAAGTTTTCACAGAATCAGTCACACAAACTAGTGGTCGAAGAGGTAGCAACTTACGAGATAAAGGCGTCGATACGGGGGAAGACCTGGAGTGGCAACGCTATTTGACATTATTGAGAGTGAGCATTAAGAATAAGAAGAAAATGTCTTCCCCCACAAGCCGACATACGCAGACTGAGACTGTCGATGGTGGGAACACCCTTGCCGCTTCATCAATTCTTCGAACGCCGCAAAATGCAATCTCCTTCTCGTCTCGCCAATTGAATGGAGAATGGAAGGGATTACCGTCAAGGCAACAACGCAACGGCGGATGGTCCAGCAATAACGCCTGCAGTCATCTCACTCTAAAGAGCAGTCCAAGGCAGTTTAATGAGTTTGATGTATTGGCACCGCCAACTCGTACATTCGAGTCGTTCTTCGCTCCAGATTTAGTGACAAGCAAGCAACCTCCTCCACCGCTCGTTGAGCAGACGTGGAGACAGGGTTCCACCTTTTTGCCGGTAAATGCCAGTCGTAAGTTGTCGGACGTAACTCCTGGTCATCAGGTGCAACAGCAGGAGTACCGAGAGCCAATCCGGCCGATCCGCACAACGGGGAATTATCCTTTTACGCAGCATTCTCCAGTCTCCGCCTCAACAAATCCAACGAAACTTCCATACATAACGCGAAGGCATAAAAAGTTTGCCTTATAGAAAAATAATGGAAGAACCAAAAACACATGAAAGCAATACCTATCAACACGAAAGAAATTCAACAGCCTGCCTGTTAACCATCACATGTCCTCACCTTCCCCACGCGTGGGTAATCAGATCAGGCCTTCCTCTACTGGCGACATCGTTCCATCACGTTGCCGATGTTCATTGAACGTAGCTGTTTTGACAACTTTCCCCTTCATGCAGTTAGTTATTCTGCTTGAGCTGGCGCACGTAATTGCTGAGACGGTGCTGAGCCTTGTTGGCAATCTGCTCGATGAAAACGCGATAAAAATGAGTAAACTGGCCACAAAAAAATATTTTGCCAAAAACGTACATCAATGGAAGGGTTGATGGCGAGCAGCGCACGGATGTCCTGCAGAGCCAGACGGTAGCGCTCCAGGCCCTCGTAGGCGAGAGCACGTCGCAGCAGAGCCTTCTGGTTCTTCTCGTCGTACTCGAGCACATGCGTGCAGTCGCGGATGACACCGGAGAAGTTGCTGAGCTGCTGGTTGCAAGCCGCGCGGTTGTTGTAGCACGACAGAGCCAGAGCCGAGCCGGGCTTGTCGTTGCAAGCCTCGATGGCCTCTCCGTACAGCTCAATGGCCTTCTCGAAGGCAGCGCTCTTGAACGCGTCGTTACCGCGCTCCTTCAGCAGCTCAGCGGGACTCATGCCTGAGCGCTTGGCCTGCTCGGCACGGGCCTGCAGCGGCTCGATCTCCGTCACCAGACGGTTCAGGTCAGCGTTGTTGAAGTCCACGCGCTGGCCGGCACGCAGCGTGGCCAGAGCCTCGTCATACTTCTTCAGACCCTTGAGCGCCACACCGTGACGGTGGTAAGCTGTACATCGTACCGTACAAATTAATCAGCTTCAACAGTAAAATAAAATTAAAAAGATGGCTGGGTACCACCGAAAAAATGAGTTATCCCGTTAGATAACGTCACGTACCCTTGACGAACTGAGGGTTGATACGGATGCACTCGGCAGCATCGTCCGCAGCCTCCTGGAACTTGCCCCAGCCAGCGTAAGCAGCACTGTAATGGAACGAGTGACGTCAGTTGGCAATTGCAACGAGAAATCAATTGGTGGGAGAGAAGAGAGTCCACCAATGTCGCCAGAATGATGACACTAGAAGGATGGACATTTATATAAAGAGGAGGAGGACGCACCTGCGGTTGGAAAAGTAGACGTGGTTGGTCGCGTCGATCTCGATGGCCTCCGTGTACTTGGCTACAGCATTGGAGTAGTCCTGCTTCTTGAAGGCCTCGTTACCCTCGCTATGTATTGGAAAAATGGAGATAGAATTAGTGAGGAGTTGGCATGAAGAGGAGGGGGTACTGTAAAAGACGCACTTCTTCTTGGCGTCGGCGGCGGCGTTGACCATGGTGTTCGCTGGTGTGGAGGCGTTTTGTGATGGAACGATCTGGCTTTGTGTGGGTTGCTGATTGGCTCCCGCCAGCTCAGGTTGTTTAACATGAATCTGGTGTGGTGGACACTGGTTGTTTGATTATTCTTACGACGACATTCAAGCAACACGAAATCAAAAAAATAAAGATTTAGGGAAGATCCGGTTTGGAGTATGTAATTTTAAAAAAAAAAACCCCCTCAAATTGATAAATAAGCGACATTATATTCTCTGTATTTTGGAGGTGATAGTTTGTGGAATCACTAAAGCCTGTCTTAGAACGAAATCGAAATGGTGTCGATCGAGAAGACATGAGATGTAAACTAAACGAACTAGGAAGTAAACCAACCTGAACTGAAAGCATTACTATGCAAGTAATTGACTTGATTTTAAATTGAAGGAGTCGAAGTTGAACTGAGGGGGCAGGTAAAACTTTATCCCCCAATCCTCCTCTATTTCACTTCGGGTACGTCACGCTTGGGCGACTTGCTAATAATCTAATATGTTAAGTAAGATGCAAGCTAAACAGTAGTTAGTACCATGTTGGATTGATCCGTAAATCAATTTTTATATCAAGTCCTAGAAAAACAACTATTTTCAATGTCACTTGCAATCCACATGAAAACCAACATAGTTTATCGATATTGGAGTACCACTTGTCTCCTTTACAATGCAACCGTGGCGGAGCATGCCGTTCTCCTACGCTTGGCATCATTTCGCACGAGTTCAAGTTGTTCGCACTGCAGACGAGAAGTTGGACACTCTACACGACATCATTGCATACGCCAACTTGAAAAATCGCTGCTCAAGCTGCCCCACGAATTGCGACCACCACCAAATGCACTATCGAGTTTAATACTGCAAATCCTCGAGTTGTAAGGATCCAGGATTAAAGTGTACGTATTGGCTCAAGGTATAACAAATACTACTTTCCTTGTGCTATACTTACGTTTTCGTGTGTTAAATTACACTTTCTAGTGCCTGTCTTATTGCAGCAGGGTTTGTATCACAAGTAAATTGAAGAGTGGAAGCTGGTTTCGTACAGAACTTTATCAAATGCTGGAATGCTTCTCCTAAGACAAAGTCGATGTCGCAGAAGAAGGTGATTATCATTGGATCTTTGATACAACAAAGTTCAAATTGTGGTGCTCTAACATTAGGGGGACTCAAACTTCCAACAAAAAAAAAAGAGCTGATTTCCCGGCGCCGATTTGACTGATTTTGGAGACGAAAAGTCGCTGGTTTCGAGAGCTCCCGAAACAAGCTACCTCCGGAGGTGGCTTGTTTAGAAGCCGATCAAGTGCTTGTTTGGGACCATAATTTGGAGAAAAAAAATATCGGTGGGTGCAAGATCATTCTCCCTCGCGCCTGATCCATCACCCGCCGCAAACTATGCGTTTAAAACTTCGCGCCAAAACTTAGATGGGATCTTCGCGCCTTAGCTTTGGCGCCTAATTTCTCTCGCCTGAGCCAGGATCGCAGTTTGCAATTTGGTCCGTTCCTGCGAAACCTCGATCCTCTCACTCTCCTCACTACGATTTCTCCACCATGACCTCTGCAAGCGACGCGAAGAACCCGCATCTCACTGAAGACGACATCAAGATCCTAGTCGCGTGGATGGAGATACCCGACAACTTTCAAAGCGTATACAGAACTAGTGGGAAGCCAAACGTCGGAGGGAAGGCAAAGATCACAAAGAATTTGGCGTACGCTCAGATGGCTGCTCACCTTCACGCTAAGACACAGAAGCATGCGAGCTTGAAAGCCAGAAACATGCAGCGACGCTGAGAGAACTACGTTAAAAAGTTCAGAGAGGTTCTCAAGTACCATGGCGGAACTGGCATGGGTCTTTCGGGTGGTGAAGTTGACCGTAGTGCGTCGCTCCTGGCTAAGCTTGAGAAGATGTGTCCATGCTACATTCGAATGCGCGTTCTTTTTGGTGAGTGCCCCAATATGAAACCCCACGATACGGTAGAGCTAGGGGCTAATGGGGGCGCCACAAATTTTAAAGGGAACGCTCATACAGTAACGTCGGAGCAAGTGTCGGAACTCGCCCATTCGAGTGAAGCCCTCCAACAAGCACCACCAGTGGCCGCAGCAATACCGCTGAGGAAAGTGACGATGGTGATAATACAGAGAAGGATGTACCCACTGCTACCCCCGTCATGTTGGCCAGACCCCTATTTTCTCCCGGTTCACCGACATCACTATCAGTTTCTCAGACACAGGACGCCTTCCACCGAATTCTCTTGTGCAAGTGTGCGAATCCGCATTCAACACACCTCAACGCAAGCGACTTGCTGACCCCGCGCCAACGAAGTCGTCGAAGCGGGCAAAAACGAGCAAGGGGAGGAATCCACTCAAAAAGACAATCCTAACCACGAACACAAAGGCCCCGCTGCCTGTCAAGAAACCAGTGCAATCTTGACAGCAAGCCATCACACTCCGCTGCTCATGAAACACGAATGTCGCTCTCTCAAGCTTTTGCACGCAACGCAGAGGCGAAGATTGAGTTCCTGGAAGCTAAACTTGAGGAAGAAAAACGCCAGTGGAATGAAAATCAGGCTATATTAGAGCATCAAAAGCTTGATGACTTGCAGGAGCGCCGAACGGTCCGCAAACAGGAGCTCCTGATCGAGCTGGTCCGACAGCAGAAAACGCCGGAGGAGATTACCATGTTCATAAAGTTGGCTGAGTAGTCGAACCTCGAGCGGGCGTCGACTGTGCAGGCTGTTGCTGTGTTTCTTTTAGGCATTTCAACTACGTCCTCGCAGCCACAATATTCCACCAGGCTCACACGCTTTTGAAATAGCCCCTGTTTCAGCCTTCGTCGGAATACAATCTCGTCGT